AAAAAAAAAAAAAAAAAAAGTACAGATTTCCCTATTTTTTTGGCCGGGCGCAGTGGCTCATGCCTGTAATCCCAGCACTTTGGGAGGCCAAGGCAGGCAGATCACAAGGTCAGGAGTTCAAGACCAGCCTGGCCAAGATGGTGAAACCCCATCTCCACTAAAAATGCAAAAATTAGCTGGGCATGGTGGCACGTTCCTGTAATCCCAGCTAGTCAGGAGGCTAAGGCAGGAGAATCACTTGAACCGGGACCCAGGAGGCGGAGGTTGCAGTGAGCGGAGATCGCACCACTGCACTCCAGCCTGGCTACAGAGCAAGAATCTGTCTCAAAAAAAAAGAAAGAAAGAAAATACAAACACAATTATAACATCAACATTTTATACGGTTGGATGTAACAGGAATTTTAATATATATGAGAGATTTTAAAACATTGCTTCTCGACACTGTCTAAAAAGAAAATGTAGAAGGTGATTAATATTCCATTTCTTGAGCAATGTACCCTCCCTCAGACACTATCTGAAATATATTTATTTAGCAAACATATAAGCTCAACAAACCCCTCCAAAAATGCTGGCCCTAAAGTTCCACTGGACTGGGAAAGGAGCTCAACTAAATTAACTATCAATATATGACTCTATCCTCCAACTCCCAATGGTTATTGAAATATTTTTTATTCAGTTAGAAATGAAGCAACTTCTGCTCCAACATCAGTTTTTGTTTAACTCAGAACTCATTAAAGGTCTGACATCTAATAAATAAAGAGTGCCAACAAAAGACAAAAACAAAAAAAAGGGCAAATGGACAAATCTCAGTTTGCAGAAAAGTTACATAATAGCTTAACTGGACAAAAAATGCTAAATCTCACTCAAAAAAAAGAAGCAAAATAAAACTACATTTAAGTACCATTTTTTAACTTAGATTGGCAAATAATCAAAAAATAACGCATTTTGAGAGTACAGAAAAACAGGAGCTCTCATAAGTTGCTAGTGGTAGTATAAATTGGTATGACTCAACAATAGCAATTTGGTAAAATCAATCAAAATTAAGATACAGACCCAAAAATGTCTTGATGGAAGTGGTTAAAAATAAAAGCAGCCATTGGAAACAATGAGAAAACTTGATAAAAATATATGTAACAGTCTCAAACACATTTGGTAAGTAAAAAAGGAATGGAAATAACTAATTTGTTAAGGTATGGTACAGAAGTATTTGCAGTACCATATGCAAAGTATAAATCTGGATGGATAAACAAAAAAGTCATACAATACTGATTACCAAAGGAGATTTGGATAACTAATAGCAAAAGATGGGATAGAAATTTCACTGTTCACCCCTTTGAACCTTTCAAATTTGAACCATCTGAATTACTTACAAAAAAGGTTTTATTCATTTATTCATTTACGGGAACACTAGGTAATGAGCTAAGCCAAAGAACCAAAACAGGGCAAGCATGTTTCTCTGAATATTGAATTTCTGGGATGCATAAACTACAGGAAATCCAAAAGCGAGGGAGGGAAATCACAGTATTTGATCTTTACAGTTAAGATGAGGGAGAAAAATACATCATGACTGTAGATTATCATCAAATATCTCTGTGACGTTTTCATCGTATCTGTAATCATTGTAACAAATCATTATGTGAAACTGGTTTAAGTGTACTTAAATCAATACATAGATCCACAAGAAAAATGTCTAATACTTCAGCTAACCTTTGAGGTAACACTCAACACAAAAGGTTTCCAACGAAAAGAGAAACATAGGCACATAATAGGTTTAGACCAAAAAAAAAGTTCTATAGATCATTTTAATACTGGCTTTATTTCTGAAATGTTTGAACACAGACATTTTGCAATTTCCTCCTAGTAATGATATTGAAATTCATCATGATTGTTTCTAAATAACATTGGCAACCTGTCTATCCTCTGCAACTGTTGCTCAAAAAGTTAAACAGAGTTATGCTATGACCCAAGAATTCCACTTCTAGGTATATACCCAAGAGAACTCAAAACATATGCTACACAAAAACTTATACATGGATATTCATAGCAATATTTTTCACAGCACCCAAAAACAACCTAAAGGTCCATCAACTGATGATGGATAAACAAAATGTGGTATAGTCACACAATGGAACATTATTCAACCACAAAAAAGAATACAGTGCTGACACACACTATGTCATTAAAGAATATTGAAACAATGAAAAAAAACAGACACAAATGGCCACATATTGTATGATTCCATTTATATGAAATGTCCAGAATAAGCAAATCTAAAGAGACAGACGGTAGATTTGTGATTGCTTAGGGCTGGAGGGAAGGAGGGTACGGTGATGGAGAGGGATTGCTAATGGGAGCGCTTTCTTTTTGTGCTGATAAAAATGTTCTAGGACCAGGTGCAGTGCATCACGCCTGTAATCCTAGCACATCGGGAAGTCAAGGCGGGTGGATCACCTGAGGTCAGGAGTTTAAGACAAGCCTGGTCAACATGGCGAAATCCCATCTCTACTAAAAATACAAAAATTAGCCGGGCGCGGTGGTGGGTGCCTGTAATCCCAGCTACTTGGGAGGCTGAGGAAGGAGAATCACTTGAACCCAGGAGGCGGAGGTTGCAGCGAGCAGAGAACGCACCACTGCACTCCAGCCTGGGCAACAAGAGCGAAACTCCATCTCAAAAAAAAAAAAAAAGTTCTAAAGCTGAATTTGGTAACGGTTGCACAACTCTGTGAATACACTACATACCACTGAATTGTACACTTTGAATGGGCAAATTGATACATTAGGTAGACTTTAAATGGATAAACTGATCTTATTAATCTGTTTATAAAAAAAAAGTCTTTTTTCCCATAAATTGTACCTTTCCCAAGTTACTTAACCCAGTGACCTTTTCTTAATATTCTGCTTGCAACCTTTGATTCTCTTGATCACCTGCTTTCCTTGGCAACACAGAAATCTACTATCCTAGTTCACAACCCACCTCTGACCCCAATCACAAATGTTTCCTTCAAGTTTTCTTTTTTTTTTTTTTTTGAGACAGAGTCTCGCTCTATCGCCTACGCTGGAGTGCAGCAGCGCAACCTCAGCTCACTGCAACCTCTGCCACCCGGGTTCGAGCAATTCTCCTGCCTCAGCCTCCTGAGTGGCCAGAAGTAAAGGCACGTGCCACCACGCCTGGCTAATTTCTGTATTTTTAGTAGACATGGGAATCCCATGTTGGCCAAGCTGGTCTCGATCTCCTGACTTCAGGTGATCCACCCACCTCAGCCTCCCAGAGTGCTGAGATTACAGGCGTGAGCCACCACTCCCGGCTAACCTTCAGCAATTTCATCTACTGCCAACCTTTCAAAACTATCTTCTCAGCAAATCAGATGATTCCTAACTTTATCTTCTGTCTTAGCTACAGCCACAAGTTTTATGGATAGTTCAGTCTAGGTCCACCTCACTCTTGGCCTAACCAAAACACGCTCATCTTTTCCCAAAATCTAGTTATTTCCATATTACTCCTTTTTCTAAATAGCACTACCCACTTCTATCTCACCTTAAAGTCAGTTTGGGTTGCTCTCAACTTTCCAAATCCCACAGATCTCTCCCTAAAGCATTTAACTTCCTTTTGCTCAACTCTTGTTCAGCTCATATACCTCTCTTAGCATGTTACAAAAGGCATGTTAACTTTTCTTACCAAATCCAGGCTATCATAAAACAACCATCTAAAAAGGGCTGCCAAAAGAAAGCTCATAAAGGGTAACTCCAATCAAAACAAATACCAGGCCAAAAGACATGATCAGGCAATACATGAAAGAGGACATTTAAAAAAGAGGTATCCAGTATTAGAGAAACAATATTCAAAAACATACAAACCAAAATGAAATTTTCCTTACTAGCACTGTACTGGCACCATAAACTGATATAACCATTTTGAAAAAGAAAATTTGTAAGTATCAAGAGCCTCTAAATGTATAATTTTGTGTATATATACTATCTTTCCAGAGATACTCTACGTAGAAACAAGTCTATACAGACACAAATCACCACAGATGCCTCTAAGGAGAACTAGCCGACTGAGGGGCAAGGATGAAAGGGAAACTTAATCTTCTTCTAATAGCCTCTTACATTTGAAATTTTTTTTTTTTTACTTGGTACTATCTACCAAAAGAGACAATTTAAGGTGGCCGTTTCTGAGACCAAGATGAGTTTACATTAATTTGATTATCAAGGCCAGGAGAGAAATTCAGACTATAACATTGTTCTTTCTGCAGGGACTTTCATGGCACTATTTTAAGGTCTAAATCTTGTCTCATCTCTCTAAAAGATTGTTTTATTTTCCTACTATGTGATGACACATTTTTTTTTTTCTTTACACCACTTTGAAAACTACCACGTGTCCTGTTGCTGTGGTGTTAAAAGTTTTTTGCTGTCGGTTTGCTTATTCTTTAAGAAGCAGTTGAAAAAGGAAATAAGTCATGGAATTCATCCATCTTACAGCAAAGGACTTTGACAGAAATCCAGTTCTTAAGCTATTATAACTCATGAATAAATAACTGTGTTGTTGCTTTTTTTTTTTTTTTTTTTTTTTTTTTTGAGACAGAGTCTCACTCTGTCACCGAGGCTGAAGTGCAACGGCGTGATCTCAGCTCACTGCAATCTCTGCCTCCCAGGTTCAAGCCATTCTTGTGTCTCAGCCTCCTGAGTAGCTGGAATTACAGGCGCACACCATCATGCCGAGCTAATTTTATTTTTTGTATTTTTAGTAGAGACAAAGTGCTGGGATTACAGGCATGAGCCACCACGCCCGGCATTAAATGAACTTCCAGGACATACTTAAATTCACCTTTGAACCAGTAATTCCACTTCTGAGAAAACTTTCTACCAAAATAACTAAATAGACAAAAGATTTTATGCCTTTTATACTGTGTTTAACACAGGATAATTTAAAATAACAAAAATCTGGGAGCAACCTAAATGTCCAATACAGAAAAACAGTTAAGAAAACAATAACCTACACTTTTATGATCAACTAATTTCCAACAAGGGTGTCAACACCATTCAATGGAGGAAAGGACAGTCCTTTCGTCAAATGATGTTGAAACTGGATATCTACATGCAACAGAATGAAACTGAACTCCTACCTCACATCGTATAGAAAAATTAACTCTAAATATCCTCCCTATTGCACGTGACAAGTCTTTGAAAAAAAAATTCTAAGTAGATCAAAGACCTAAATGTAAGAACTAAAACTATAAAACTCTTAGAAGGAAACACAGGGGTAAATATTTATGACCTTAGGTCTGGCAATGGTTTCTTGGATATGACATTGAAGCACAAGCAAGCAAAGAAAAAAATAGATAAATCAGACTGCACCAAAATTTTAAACCTTTTTTTTTTTGGAGACGGAGTCTCACTCTGTTGCTCAGGCTAGAGCGCAGCAGCCTGATCTCAGCTCACTGCAACCTCCACCTCCCAGGTTCAAGCGATTCTCATGCCTCAGCCTCCTAAGTAGCTGGGATTAAAGGTGCCCGCCACCACGCCTGGCTAATTTTTGTATTTTTAATAGAGATGGGGGTTTCACCATGTTGGTCAGGCTGATCTCGAACTCCTGACCTCGAGTGATCCACCCGCCTTGGCCTCCCAAAGTGACAGGATTACAGGTGCGAGCTGCCACACAAAAATTTTAAATTTTTGTTCCTCAAAGGACACCACAAGAAAGTAAAAGGACAACACATAAAATGGGAGAAAATGCAAGAAAATATTGCAAATCATGTATCTGGAAAGGGACTTACATTTAGAATATAGGAAGAACTCATACAACTTTAAAATAAGACAACTCAATTTAAAAATAGGCAAAGGAAGTAAATGGACATTTCCCCAAAGATATACAAAAGGTCAATAAGCACATTAAAAGATGCTCAACATTATTAGCCATCAGTGAAATGCAAATCAAAACTACAATGAGCTACCACTTTATAAGCACTAAGACTGCTATAACCAAAAAGAAAGATAAGTGCTCCCAAGGATATGAAGAAATCAGAACCCTTATAACCTGCCGGTGGGAACGTAAAATGGTGCAACCAATTTGGAAAACATGTGGCACTTATTCAAAAAGTTAAACATAGAGTTACCATATGCCCACCAATTCCACTTCTAGGTATATACCCAAAACAACTGAAAACACACGTCCATACAAAAACTTGTACACAGATGTTTATAGCAGAATTATTCAAAACAGCCAAAACCTGTAAACAACCTAAATGTCCATCCACTGATGATGGCTGAGCAAAATGTGGTATATTCACACAATGGAACATTACTCATTCATAAAAAAGAATGAAATACTGATACACAGACACTGATGAACCTTGAAAACATACTAACCGAAAGACACCAGACAACTTAGGCCATATATTCTATGATTCCATTTACATGAAATGCCAGTATAGGAAAATCCACAGACACAGAAAGTAGATTAGTGGTTGCAAGGCCTGGGAGAGAAAGGGGAGACTCTAATGGGGAGTGACTGTCATGAGTACAGGATTGCTTTTGGGGATGATGAAAATGTTCTGAAAGTGGATAGTGGTGACAGGTATATAACTTCGTGAATATGAGAAAAACCACTGAAATGTACAATTTAAAAGAATAAATTATATGGTGTATGAATACCTTAATAAGACTTTCTCAAGAGGAAAAAAGACAATCCGTGCAATGAATACAATGTATGTAACTGTGCCTCTTAGTTATAACCGCATTTTACGTGCATACGTTATGATCACAAATAGGTTAATATGAATAAAATATTAGAAAAAGATCAAAATGCTGGGTTGGCAGAACTATAGGTGATCTCTTTATAACTATTTCTGCATTTTCCAGATATTCCTTAATAAGCACTGCTTTTTTTAAGTGGTGGGGAAAAGTTTTATTTACAACAAACAAAAAGATAAATTATTAAACTCCCAAGAACGTAAGTACAAATTCCTTAGCTAATAAAGAATAATCATAATTCGGCAATCTAATGGTCCCTAAAATACCTTTCCTTCCCCTCCCCTACAGAAGCCAGGAAAGTTGAACTCCCTCCTCCCGGAAACATGATGCCCTCGATTTCCAGGACACCTCCAGCTCCTGCTTTTCCCCCTCCTCTCCAGCTGCTCCATCTTCTCGGCCCTTTCCTCCTCCTTCTCCTCCTCTTCCTCTTCCTCCTGAGTAGTAAATGCTAACGACCCGCAGGACTCTCATCAGGCCTCTATTACCAAGTAAGGGGCTGCCTTGGCCCCAACCCGCCACCCAGAACAAGGCGCACATTCTCGGCTCTCTGTGAACCTCGGACTCTTGAGACATCTCCAGACCGAGACTGCAAAGTGGGTGAAGGACTGCGAGAACTCCCCACGTACAGACAGTCTTTCCTCGAAGGCCACGAGGACGTCAAGCCGGAGATGAGGCTGGGAAGGGGGACTACGGGGCCATGAGCGACCAAGACTAGGGAACTAGGGACATCCTGGCCCCCTCCTCTAGCCCCGCCCCGGGCAAGGGGTGTCCTGCGCGCCGCCCCCTCTCGGACCCGGAGAGGACGTCCCAGCGAGCGTTCGGGGCCCACACACAGAGCCAGCAGCACGGAGGTGGCAGCGGCGCGGACAGCGTGGGAAAGAGGGACACTCACCCGCTTCAGCCCCGAGCCTTCACTGCACCGGAAGTAGTCACCCGCCCGTTGCCAGGGTGAGGAAGCGGGGGTGACATCAAGTCTTCCCATTGGTCATTCATGGTACCACGTGGCCGGAAGCAGGCTTCCACAAGCTGCTCTGACTCCGCCCTCCACTTCGGAGAGGCTCACCTGGCCTCAGAGGTGCCCCGCAAACTCCACTTGGGGCTTAGGTCTGAGCTGCGCATGCGCTGTTGCCTATCTCTCCCCACCCCGCCCCTGAATAAACCCGCAGGATATGATTGTATGTGAGTGGTTGGCAGACTAATGCTGTGATAAGAAATGAAATTAAACTGACCATCATTTATCTAGGTGTCGCTTAAGAGCTTACTTTCTTTCAATCCTTACAGCACTCTTATATGGTAGGGAAAACTTAGGTCCTGCCTGGATTGCTTGTAGGAGTTGGGGCACGACCCTTCCCCAGGATCCATGACTGATGGATTTTCCTTACACTTCAACCAAAACATCACGTCGAACTGAAGAAATGAGAATCTACCTGGCTTCTTTAAGCCAGATGTAGAGGAATTTACACTAATGCAAAAGATAACACTTTTCTTACCACATATTTTTGTTTTTGGAAAATTTATTCTTCATTAAAATGTGTTAATTATATTAACATATAATGGTTTCTTATTGTTATTTTAAATAACTTTTTAACATTTCAGGTTTTGTTTTTGTTTTGTTTTTTTGGATGGAGTTTCGCTTTGTCAACCAGGCTGGAGTGCAGTGGCAAGATCTCAGCTCACTGCAACCTCCGCGCTCCCGCCCCTTCCCCGCTCAAGGGATTCTCCTGCCTCAGACTCCCTAGTAGCTGGGATTACAGGCGCCCGCTACCACACCCGACTAATTTTTTGTATTTTTAGTAGAGATGAGTTTTCACCATGTTGGCCATGCTGGTCTCGAACTCCTGACCTCAGGTGATCCGCTTGCCTTGGCCTCCCAAAGTTCTGGGATTACTGGCATGAGCCACCGCACCCAGCCACATTTCAGTTTTGTGTTCAATTTTTAATATAGCAAATATTAATAGATGTAACCCACAGAAACAAAAGCTTTGGAGTGTTCCCTACTATTTTGGGGAGTATAAAGGTATCCTGAGACCAAAAAGTTGGAGAACCACTGATACCATTATTATAAATATAGCCTATGTGGTTTTATTATGTAACTTAGGGCTTTTTTTTCTGTCTTCTACCACTGACTTCTTAGGGCGGGGCAAGGGGAAGAAGTTTATTACATAGTAAGAATAACAGTTTTTATATAGCAATAGTAACTGAAACCGATTTTGTTACATAGAAGTAGGATGGATATTATAACAAAACATAACATAATAACATCATAAAAGTAAAACATGTGGCATTGGCTTTGGAACTAGGTGAAGCAGCAAGAGCGGGAAGGGAACCAAAGTATTAACAAGAGTCTAAAAGGACTTGAGGAAGCTGCCAATGAGGGCTTAAAGGGAGCTAAGGAAGATGTTATTAGAAGCTGGAGAAAATGGGGCCCTTGCTATTTCGTGCCAGAAAGTTTGGCGCAGGCATAAGGGAGCAGATACAAACCATCTGCATTGTGCCCTTTCTGAATACTTCACCCACGGAATCCATCAGCATAATAAAATAGTTGTTCTTTTGCACCTTTAAATTTGAAATGGATTTTTACACAGCAATATTAACTGGAACCAGCAGGAATAAAAGAAAAGATGTTAAAGTTTTAAAAAGACATAGACATGCTCCCTTCCATTTCTTAGGCAACCTTCTTACCTACTGTCCTGGAATTTAACTACATTATAATAATCATCTCCCAGTGCTGCTCTGTATACTTTTATCTTGGGTATCACACCCAGATGCCACACAGGCCATCCTCTGGTAGGTTAATACTGCTCAAGTAAAAGTAACAAATTTCTTTGGACCCTTTTTTTTAATTATTGAGACAGAGTCTCACTCTATTGCCCCGGCTGGAATGCAGTGGTACGATCTCAGCTCACTGCAACCTCCGCCTCCCCGGTTCCAGTGATTCTCCTGCCTCAGCCTCCCCAGTGGCTGGGATTATAGGCGCCTGTGACCACGCCCAGCTAATTTTTGTCTTTTTAGTAAAGACGGGGTTTCGTCATGTTGGCCAGGCTGGTCTCGAGCTCCTGACCTTAGGTGATCCACCCATCTCGGCCTCCCAAAGTGCTGGGATTACAGGCATGAGCCACCCCGCCTGGCCCAGACCCAATTTTTAACATTTTTAACCTGCATTGGGTACGGTAACAATGAGATCCTTTGAAATATTAACCATCAATAGTTGTAATATCTATCTGATTCACTCAACATGTTAAATATGAAAGGAAAGTCTATGCTAGTAAATCTCCTTCAGAAGAAAATCTGATGGCCTCCCTCTTCCTGTTCACACCTCTCCCAAACCCGGAAGAGCAGCAAGCTGAGGAATTACTTCCTTTATCTCAAATAATCATGTCTGCTGCATCTTGATCTTTGTACTCTAAGTAAGCCCCCCTCTTCTGGTTCCCTGGGGGTCTCCCTTTGTTTTGTATTCTTGGAAAACACTATTGCTTTAACACACGTGTCAGAAATGTAGCATAACAATAGTGATAGTCTTCAAGTGTTGTTTGACAAGTTAACACCAATTCAGCTGCTTAAGACAACATAAATGTAGTATTTCCGTTTCTGTGGATCAGGTGTCCAGGTCTCTACTCAGATCTCAGAAGGCTGAAATCAAGATGTCAGCCAGAGCTGCCATCTCATGGGATGCCCAGAGCGATTCCCCAAGTTCATTCAGGTGATTGGCAGAATTGAAATCCTTGCAGCTGTAGAGCTGGCCGCTTTCATCTTCTTCAAGGTCAGGAGGAGCAGTCCTCTCTGACTTTTCCACATTGAAAGGACTCAACTGATTAGGTCAGGTCCCCCAGGATAATCTCCCCTTTGATGAACACAGAGTTAATGATTAGTCGTCAAGTTTCAGGAGGGATGGCCATCATATTCTTAGCTTCCATCCACACTCCAGGGGAGAGGATCATACAGTGTCTGTGCACCGGCGCAGAAATCTTGCAGGCCATCTTAGAATTTTGCCTACCATGTGGAAAAAAGAAAGTTTCAATTATAGATGGACTACAACAACCCTTCACGCAGTCCTATGGTAGACAGCAGTTGTTTCGCCTGCCCTACATAAATTCCTTCTTATTCTCCTGACAGCACCCAACTTCACTTCCAGTGATTGCCCTTCACCACTTGCACCCAGTGTAAGTTGGACTGTCCATCAGGATGCTCCATGGGATGATCAGCTGACCCATGCTAAGCTAAAGCTGCTTCTTGCCTAGAATTTGAAAACTGACAGCAATAATGCAAAGAGTAAAAGCAGTTGTTCATTCAACCGAGGTTACAGGGTTCCCTATTACTGTTCCAGTGCTTGTATTTTTCCAAAACCTGCTTCCTTAGTTTTTCTTTCAGTTATCTTAGGTACTCCCTATCCTACCAACAAATTCATTTTTTCTTCTTTAACTTATAAAATTTTGACCAAGACAAATAATCCAGAAATTACTTGACTCCCATGTCAAGCCCTGATGACAACACATTGTCTTCGGAGCCCTGACAAAGACTGGTAAGATGAAACATGGCCTACTTGCCATCTCTGGTTTCATCCTTGTTGTCTGTCAATTATCTGGCCAGCTATGTTGTCATCCCCCATTCACAGAGCAATATAAATGTGCTTCCTGCACAACAAACTGTCTGACCAGTTTTTGATTTAACACCTTTCTCTGCAATCTCTTAGTTTTTTTATTGTAACATGTAAAGAGTGTCCCCCATTCTCATAAGCTTGTTATAAAAATTAAATACAATTTTCTGAACCAGAAGCAGCGTCAGCTTCTCAATCACTTTTTCCTAACCACCTTGTTTTAAATTGCAATCACACTCCCCTGTCTGTTCTCCTTCCTGTTTTATCTCTATCAGTAGCACACAGCCCCAACTAATCCTCTAAAATTTTCCCCATTCATTTAGTGTATTAATCATCTCTCCTGTAAAGTCAGTTCCATAAAGATGGGGCTATCTTTATTTATTATTATTTTTTTGAGACAGTGTCTTGTTGTAGCACCCAGGCTGGAGTGTAGCGGTGCTACCATGGCTCCCTGCAGCCTCAAACTCCTGGGATCAAGCCATCCTCCTGCCTAAGTCTCCCAAGTAGCTGGGACTACAGGTGTGAGCAACTGCACCCAGCTAGGACAGACATTTAAAAAGAAAAAAAAAACATTTTATTGATGTTAAACGTAAATACAGAAAAGTACAGCTTGATGATTCTTCATATAGTAAACACAGTGTATAACCGTTCCTCAGACCAAGTGAGAAAAATCATGACCTGGCCCCGGGGTAATGCTGACATCTAACATCACACATCCATTTTCTCTATATTTAAACATTATATGAATGGAATTTTACAGTATGAAAACTCTTTTATGTGCATTAATATCATACTTTGAGATGAGTCCACGTTGGATGTTTATTCTCCTTGCCATGTGGTATTTCACTGTGATAATTTACCCATTATATTGTTTTTTCTTTCCAACTTTTATTTTAGGTTCAGGAGTACACATACAGGTTTGTTACATGGGTAAATTGTGTGCTGCAGGAGTTTGGTGTAGAGATTATTTTGTCACCCAGGTAATAAGCATAGTACCTGATAGGTAGTTTTCTGATCCTCACCCTCCTCCCACTGTGTACCTCCAAGTAGGTCCAGGTGTCTGTTGCTCCCTGCATTGTGTCCATGTGTTAGCTCCCACTTACAAATGAGAAAATGTGATATTTGGTTTTCTCTTCCTGCGTTAGTTTGCTTGGGATAATGGCCTCCAGCATCATCCATGTTGCTGTAAAGGACATGCTCTCATTCTCTTTTATGGCTGCATAGTATTCCATAGTGTATACGTACCATGTTTTCTTTG